GAACACAACAGAAGCATTCATTCCTTTAATTGAGAAGCTCGATGTTAACTGAACATAACCAACTAACCGTGGCTTCGTTTCGTTCAGATCAAAGTTTGAACTTCTTGATCTGTTTTCAGACACTGGCAGAATAGTCCTGTCCTTTAAGTCATATAGCAGGCGTATTCATCATTTAGTCTGTGTTCGGCACTCTACCGCAGAACCGTGAGGCTCACGAAGTTTGAAGATGGGGCAATGCTACATGTGCGGCGCGAGTCACCATCGGTTTCATGTCCAATTCTTTCGTTCCAGTAATGCAATACGCTTCCATATTTGTAATGTGAGTCTGTATACGCGGCAATAAAGCTTTACCTCGACTCACCCCGATCACTGAATCGGCTCCTTGTTATCCCTCTTCATTAACCTGATTCGATCACTTATTTTACTTTATTGACCTTACTGACATTAAATTCTGTCCTGAGATAACTTCTGTTATGAATTGGCGCTACACAAATAAAATTGAATTGAATTGAATAGACTGATCAGCTTTTTATGTGCTTTGTCAGCCATACAGACAGGCCCATATCAAAGCCTAGGCTGTCCAACTGGATCGTGGACATAATTCAGCAGATGTATGTGGTCACGGCTACCATACCAACAAGATACTATTGTCTGAATGCAGCAGCCAGCTGTTGTGGGTTGGGTGTGATTCGTGATTTGAAATGTGACTCATTTGTAGTATGACTGTGGGCGATGTCTACTTTTACGCCAGTTGTCGTCTCCCTGATCAGTCTTGTCTCTTGTGGACTGACCTGAGGAGACCTTCTGCCTCTCAGGCTTGGCCTTTGCGTCTTGCGGGGCCTTGATAGGTATGTAAATAGTGTACATTTGTAAATTGTTTGTTTGTTGCACATTTGTGTTTTGGGCCTGTGGGCTGAGCCGTCTCCCCGTGCATATTAAATATGTAACAGATGGAGAGTCTTAAGACAATAGACAGTCTCTTCGCTCAGACAATCTGTCCAGCTTTTAGCCCGCTCGGAGACGCATTTTGATCAAACAGAGAGGAGCTGTCCACAGACACAATGAACACGACACACTGTGGTTGTTTGAAAATGGGATTTATTTGACTTTTACCCGCTGTGTTAACAATTAACAAAGTCAACATCAAATCAGAAATATTTGAAAATAATAATAGGGCAAACTCTTATTTTAAACACCTTGAATGTACTGTACTACCTCATAACATCAAGAATGTAACAGATGTAAAATATAAAATAAAGTACACTCAATGTAAAGAACACTAAAACACTAACATTTAATCCCACTGTGGATGATTTTATTCAGAGTTTAAACAGCATAACACTATAGATAAATAACTTAAGTTCAAGAAATATTTTAACATTCAAGATGATGGCAATTTAATTGATTTTTTCCCCCGCAATAAACAACAATGTCAACAATGACAATATACAAATGTGTATACATTCTGGTGTGGGCTAGGTGCCCTGCTCAAAGGCACTTTCACAGCTGATGTTCAGGGAGTGTAGAGCTCTTAAAGTTAAATTTAGTTTTTATAAAAACAGAAAAATCAGCTCTGAATGTGCCAGACAACCTCAGCTTGTATTCTGAATGTTTCTCACAGTCATAGTGAATGAACGAGTGGTGACCACAAATCAGTTATCATCCTAACTTACATAATATAAATTAAATTTCATCAAAAAACACAGACACTGCGTTCTGCTGAATCACAGTTTTATCACAGTTAAATGTGATTCAGATCAGTCTAAACAGGTGGGGATTAACTAACTCACATTTCCCCTTTACGTCTTGTAACATTGGTCCTTAAAATACAAAAATACCCCATATTCTTCTCATTCAGTCAGAGGTAAGACTGAGTTGTACAAATAAATAAAGTTTAACTAACTAACTAACTTAAAGCTAACTACTAATTTGTTTCAGACTGATTATTCACTAAATCAGGTTGCACAATACAACTTAGAGCATACAAGCAGAAATACAGTTTATGTCTCACAGTCAGTAGTCACTCTGATTATGCTAAGCTAACTGACGTTATTTACCAGTTTAAACAAATGTTATTGGCATAACGTCTCATAACTGGAGGTACGTTGCAGCATTTCCACCTGGAAGTTGGTCGGTGTAAATAACAATCTCTGTGGAGGAACTACTTTAGGAGGTGCAATCTGTTTGAATGTAGTCATGTGTAAAACAGCAGCTGCATCCGGTTCCTGCTTTGACCTATCAGAGGGCAACATGTGGTGTTGTTTTATTCAAATCCTTTGGACACAAATAATCTTCCTGATTAGCAGGAAGAGGAAGGTAGGACTGTTAAACAAGTTCTGCCAGATACAATGCCAGAATTAAACTTTAATTCTGTGTGATCGGGACAGGACGAGCTTTTCAGTCGCTTTGAGGTCCAAAGTGAAGTACGGTCTCCAGTTGCTGACTCAGAGAGCTGAAAATTAGTGATGAGGTGCAAAAATCACAAAAAACTGTAACTTCTCGCTGCCCACAAGATGATTTACAGTTTTTAAAGTCCAAACCAAAGGTTCCCAGAAGATCCTCCATCAGTTGGACTAGGAGTCCGTTTAAAGTCGACTTTTCTCCAACAGGGTCAACTTCCTCCAGGATCCAAGATCTGAAGGTCTCACTGCTGCTGATCAGCTGGTTCACTTGCAGCTGGACCTGCTGCCTGGTTTGAATCCCCTGAACTGATGAGACAGATCCAAGAAGAGGGAAACACTCTCACCTCCATTAACATCAACTACCAACGTGGCCTTGAGCAAGGCACCTAGACTGGAGATGGTTTGTTTGGGGCATCGTCATACTTCAGAAGCTGGAAGACAATGAACAGAAGTTTAATAATTAGTCAGCCGTCTCCTTAAAAAGTCTGATATGATTTACACAACAAGGATTTACACTCACTTTCTGTTGTTTCTTGTGTTTAAGTAAATATACACCGACTCCACCAACCAGGACCAGTAAGATGCAGACAACCACAGCGATCAGAGCGCCAGGATGGGAACGACCAGCTGATGTGAAGAAAACAAACAGAGAGAAAAGTTACAGTGACTGAAATAAACACAAAGTGTGATTCAGTTTCTGACAACACAGAAGATTATTCACCTTTAACGTTCGTCTCATTGTTTGGATCTGGAGTTTGGAGATCTCTGGGACCCAGCTGCGTCTCTGTTGTCGTTTGAACAGAGTTTGGTTCTGAAAAAGGATTTAAAACACAATATTAAAGAGAAACAACAATTATAGGACGACGGTCACATAAGTTGTTCACAAAATCATCGTTTAGTTTTGACCTTTGGACAGAAAATCCAAAGTTCTCGTCTTTGAATATTGAGACTGAGTCTCGGCCCTCCAAGACCCAAAGTTTGGGCCCCTGATGTAAACAACTGCACTCACCTACAACAAGTGTAACAACTGAGTCCTTCACTGGGCCCTTTAACTTCGGGATGAAACATCTGTATCTCCCTCCGTCCTCCAGCGTCACGTTCAGGATCTTGAGCGAGATGTCTCCACTCCTCAGGCCGTCCTCGGAGAGCTCCGTCCTCCCGACGTACGACCGGAGCTTCATGTCCGTGTCTTCCCGCCGATCCCTGTGAAGGTGCACATAGTCGACCCGACTGAGCCGATCTGAGGGGTCGGGCTTCAGGTCGGGCCTCGACCACTCCACCGTCAGCCGCTCCACGTTTAACGAAGGCTGCAGGCGGCACGGCAGGATGACGTCATCGCCCAGAACGGCGACGATTGGCTGAAGAGACCCGACCACACGAGGCTGACCTGGACAACAGAGAACATTTAAACCTTAAGATCTGAGTTATGACTAAAGTATAGTATAGTAAAAGTCACATTGCAATCATTTTGGTAAATACTGAGATTGTTGATTCACAGATCATTTTTGCATCATAATTTTAAGTATCTTTAGTCATTTTAATTAACATTGACTTCATTTTGTCATTTGTATTTGTACTGTGAAAACAAAATACAGAGTAAAAAGTTCTTAATCAGGAATGTTTGTGTAAAAACTGACACTAATTCAGTCAGTTTTTAAGCTGCTTCATCAAGAAGCTTTCTGAACTTACATAAGTAAGTTTGTGGTACCTAAAATGTTTGATGTGATGGGTTTCAATGAGTATTTTGAATTAAAATAACTTATTGCATTACAGTGTAGTAGTGTAACTAATTAATGTTGGTAGGGAGTAATCAGTAAAGTAATAACATTACTTTTAGTAATACATTTTGATGTTCTTCTCTCGGCTGGAACTAACCAACCGTCAAGCTCAGAGACACGTGGGCAGCATGTGGAGGCTTTAATGTGTGAACCATCTACTGTGACTCATAACTCTGATAGTGTGAGAAAATATCATATTGTGATTATTTTATTTGGTGATATTGTATCGACTCTCAACAATTCTGTATTGATTTTTGTGTTTAACCCCCCCAAAACACTCGCTATCAGTCAACATATTGATAAAGTTTCTCATTATTTTCAGACGTAAGTATTATTTGAGATACTAAGTCAATCTCTTGAAATATGTAGTCAATATTTTGAGATATTAAGTAATTATTTTTAAGATATTAAGTCATCATTTTTAAGATATTAAGTCAATCTTTTTGAGATATTAAGTCATTATTTTGATAAAGTTTCTCATTATAATGACTTACAGAATCTTTTTAAATCATATTGGCAGAAATAGGCTTCCATACATCTCATTTGAGTAAAACAAAGGAAGGAAATTTACTACTTAACAATAACTTATTAATTCTGTAACGTTAACACATATCACATCAATATTACCTGCAGTTCAAAAGTTACAACTATTCATGTAAGTGACCGAAACAATGAATGAATGAATGAATAACAGAAACATAGGAGCTCACCTTCACTGGAGGTCCAGACTGCAGAACTCAGACACACAATCAGAGTCCACAGAGACAAAGAGGACCCGACACTCCCGAAGTGAACCATAAAAGTACCCGACAGTACCATCAGTAACGTCCTTCAGTCACAGAGACCAGAGACCAGAGGTGGGTTGGTGGGTTGGTGAGGAGTTTTGATGTTGGTGACCACGCCCCCCCTAAGAGTGAACCAAAGAACACAGAGAAGGTTAAAAATTTCCCACACTTACAATCAATCAATCAATCGAAACTGTGACTAATCTGTGACAGAAAGGGAAATTATTTGTGGTTAAATGTTTGGCTGTTTACAGAAATCTAGTTTACATTGTAAACAATGTAATTGAACTACAAGTAAGTAATGCCTTACGTATATTTATATTTATGTACATATAATATTATTTCATTTTCTATCTATGTATGTATTATGTATTGTTAATATGACCTTGCTGAATTTGTTTATATTGTTTTTTTAAAGAAATCAATATTCCTACTAGAGACTGTTTTCTACTGTATTGTTATAAATACAGTTTAAAATGGCCATTTTGGGTATTTTACTGGTAAAGCCACAGTTTGAGATTTATTGGAAGATAAATATGTATTTATGTGGGCCGCTTTAAGGCGGCGTTAGAGACTGCATTCAATACGTCAGGTAGTGTAACGGAGAGTAAACAAAAGGACAGTTCACTTCCTCAATCGTGTCTGAACGGCGGCGGTCCGACGACAAACACATTGACGCATTCAGCTGACACAAACTCTTCATCGCAGGTTAGTGAATGAATGAATGTTTGCCGATTGTGTCTGTAGATCAGAAAGAATCACAACAGAGTCTCAGGCATGTTTTATATAAAGTTTTTACTGTGAAAAATATGATCCTTCCTTAAAACAGCCGTTTTT